CTTTGCTAAAGGGTGTTGAAGCTTGCACACGATGGAACACACACGGGAGGGCAAGGAGTTCTCGATTCATCAAGCCGTCGTGTGTTCTTGCCAACAATGCTGTGGTGATTCCAGGCCTATACGATGGCGTTACAGTTTCAGGACATTTGCGATCAATCAAGTTTGAACGCTGACGTCAATGACACATGCATGGCTTCTGAATACATGTCATTGGTGGATGGTGCCAGCCAATCCAAGATAGTGAAGAAAAGCAAAATTATGCAAGCAGTACTGCAATCCCATTGTTGGAAGCCCAGATAGCCAATAATCTGCCCTTGTACATATTATTTAATCACCTTCATTTCTTTCATTTAACAAACTACTGCTTACTACGATTCATGTGGCCTTTTCCTCGCGTCTTGTTGTCATAGGACATTGCGAATCCGTGCCATTGTGGTCCAGTGCTTCTGAGATCCAGTCCGTGATAGCTGATTATTGATTCGGGTCCTGTGATTCATATTGCGTGGTTGGTATTCCGAATTCCGTGCTTATTAGTACTACTACTACAATCATTACAAATTGGCGTCGCGTGATGGAGCTCCCAACGATTGAGCAATTGGACCTGCAAGCAAGTCCATCCGAGATCGAGGAATGGGTCGAGCGATTCGAGCTGTGATGCAGCATTCGCAAAGGTGGTACACAGAATTAATCAGCCCTATTTCTTACTGCTGGCGGCTGTGACCTCTACTCCTTGTTGAGAAACCTGGCGTTCCCTGAGGCTCCTTTTAAACTACCATACGAGTCCATAAAGTCGCTGCTGCTCAACCACCTTCTGCCCACGAAAGGGCCGAATTCAACTCCATGGTTCTTGCCGATCATGTTTCCCGCCGTGGATTCATCCTGCAGCTGAACAAACAAGCATCACGCTGCAACTATGGTGATCGCCTGGAAGAACAAATGTGCGACCGATTGGTGGCAGGCATCAATAATCTGACTCTTCGACGGAAGTTGCTGGATAAAAAAGATATAACTTTTGCCCGCATGATCTGTGAGCAACACGACGACCTGATGAAAGCCACTTCCAGCGATTCAGTCAGATTATTCCAAGGGTTGTTTTTGAATTGGATCAATAAACGTTTTGCCACCCGACTCGCCTTCTCGTTACACTATGGCTCACACCGATCTCATTCGGTAAGATAGCGTAGAGGAAACTTCTACCCAAACCCGTGTCGTCTACAATCATAGCATACCAAAGCACGTACCCACCACAGTTTAGCTGGTGCGTGGCGTCCACTAATAAAACACCACTAAACTTCCCGACTGAGTGCAGCATGACGTTAGATAAAAATAAATATGAAGAAAGACGTTTTCGTAAAGCTCCTTACCTCTCATTGATCCTCCAACATACGCGTCTCACCGCGAATCAGATTTAAACCTGCTTATTCGTAGGGATCTAATATACGCCGTAGTTATTGGTCTATTGAACTTGTATACAAACATCAGTGACTCACATGGAAGTCATGGTTGCTTACTAAACAACATTTGGCCCTTCGGTGCTCGTTCCGATCAAACGAATGACTGCTAATCTATATTTTCCAGCCTAAAATAGGTTAAATAATTAAAATCGAGAGCTGCAATCACCTGGTTGCATTTGCCCCGAGGCTTGGGTGATGTACACAGCAATATTTGCTGAATTAGTATGGAAAACCGACGGTCAGCGTCAATTTCCGAAAATACTTAATCTCCTATATCAGTTGTTTGACTTTTGTTGATGCATAGACGTAGAAGGACTCGCAGGTAACCCTTTGAAATTCGCCGAAGTTCTCCAAGAAGCCATCCAACGATCCCTGGCAATTTTCAATCCGTCTTTCAAAAAAGACTGCATCGTCAGCGTACACCATGGTTGGTATGACCGTGGAAGCGAACATCGACCTTGCATTACAGTGCTTATACTTTCCGGACAAGGTCGATTGAGGTTAAGTAAAACAAACCAAACTTTAATGACTGACAGAAATTCATTCAAAATTAAAATCAGTTCAATTTCTTCTAAATTCAACATCTCTTTTGCGAAATAAATTTAGGAATCGTTCGTTTCTAGAAGATTTCATAGTTGGAGTGTCACGTTACTACAACCTTCTACCGCTGTCTGACATGGAGGTCTGCTGTCGAAATTACCCACGGTCAGATTACACCCGTCTCTCGTATTTTGGCTTCAGTGTTGCCTCAGAAAGCGAACCATCTCCGTCCGAGTTGATGGGGTTTTATCTCGGCCATTCCTCGTGAATGCCGATGTTCCCCAAGGTTTCATACTTTTGTCCATCCTCATTTTTCTATTTATCAATGATGTTCTGTCCAAAATCTCTAATCCCATTCACTGCTTTGTCGATGATGTCACTCTCCATTGTTTCCTTTCTTACCCTACAACCCGTCAGGCCAAAACCAAGATCGATCACCATCACCTCATTAGTGCTTCTCTTGCCTCCGATTTCGGACTCATCTCCGTATGGGGTTCTATCAACCATGTATGTTTCAATGCTTCCAAAACTTCTCTCCTCTCCGTCTCTATCAAACATGTCCCTTATTCTTCTCAATTGATTTTTGACTCACTACAAACTCGGTTCACAAATTCTCTCTCCCTCCTGAGTTTATTCATAAATTCTTCTATTGGTCCTCTTTTACTTCTACACTCACCTCTCGCGCTGAGCGCAAATTTGGTTTTCTATTCCGTGCAAAGCGTTTGCTTATACCCAAGCACCTTCTCGTTTTATACAAAGCTCAAATCCTGTCGATGCTCGAACGCTCCAGTCGCGTATGTGGTGGAGCTCCGCTCTTTCTCTCCTCGACCGTGTTCAACGTAAGGCCATCCGGCTGATCAGTGAACTATCATTAAATTCGAATCTACAGTCGCTTTCCCGTCGCCGAGGAGTTGTTTGATTACCTCTTTTCTATCGTTACTATTTTGGTTTCTCCTCTTCTGACCTCGCTTCAACGGTTCCCCTCCCATTGACCTTTTCTCATTCATCTCCTTCTCAGGCTGGTAATCACCCTTATCAAATTCTGTCCCCAAATGTCGTGCTCCTATCTCCCAGTCTTCTTTTCTTCCCCAGGACTGCGAAGCCACGGAACACTTTCGCTTATCCGTAGTTCCAAACACTTCTAATCCTAGTCTTTTTAAAAGCGGGATTAACAAATTGATTCTCACTTGAATTTTCCCTCATATACCTTCCCCCTTACAGTGTCATTGGTTATGGGCTTTACCCCTTTTGGGGTAAATTAATTCGTGTTTAATAAAAAGAAAATTGGTAAAAAGAGAATTCAGCGCGATGGGTCTACAGTTCAAAGCCCGAGCAGGATGGTGGATATGTACTACTGATAAGATCTAATAAGAGTGAAATCCGAGCCTAGTGCTTCCGAGTGTATGATTGACTGGAATAACTGACGATTATGCGAGAAGCCGAAGTCGGACGGATAATCAGTTCGAAATCCCATCAATGATCTCACACCAGTTCTCACAATTCGCTTCGAGTTTATTGCGATTTAACGTTAAGTCGGTTCCAATTTGTACCCAAAATATATCGCTTTCTTTTTCATCTTCCTTGCAGTGTACACTGCAAACATACAAATATACGAATTAATTATCATATACATCTTACAATAATAACATTATAATAATTATTATATCGTTTTTATATGTAATATATACATTACGTAGATTTCGGCATCCAAATCCTACCTACAGATGATTATGCAGGCTTCACAGGCTTCGTGAAATGTACATTTATCGATTTATGCACTTAGTAATTGGATTTTGATTCTGGAGAACTCTTCTATCTTATGAAATTTTAACTTAATCATTATTGTTTTATTCTTCCAGATGCCGTACACACACAATTTCCTGGGTTCTAGTCGACAGAAAGCGAAGAAAATAATTCAACGATTTGTTCAAAAACTATGAGGACGGCTACTGTTTTCAACAGCCTATTATTTCTTTGTATGATGAATTAGCCGTTTTAAGAATGCATTCTTTGTTACCAACGATTTACTCGATGGATTCGATGTCAATAGCTACTTGATAGGGTTAAGGTGTAAAATCTGAAGGGGAATCCTGCGAGTTTACGCTGTCCTATTGTGTTACGTAATAAAAATTGTATAGATTCTATTTACAGAATGGATCGTAATCCGTGGGAAATATGTGGCAGAATAGGGGCAATATATGCATAGATTTAGGTTAGATTAGTTTATTCAATAAAGCTTTCATTTGGTCGTGAAGAGTTTGAAAAATTTCTGGTCCATGAGGTCGCTAGTTCGGCCGGTGTAAAAATGCGAAAAAAGGTGTGCCAGTTTTTCACTCTGGGAGCACTTTTGCTAGCAGGGATTTGTTATAAATATTTCAAAACTACCCTGACGTGGACTGGACCAATAATTGGTTGTTGTTTTGCGTAGCCCTACAACTAAACTGTTAGCGGACTATCGCACTCATAGACATTCATAAAAATTCATTTTCTTCCTAAATTGTATGTCCAATAAAAAACCAACAAGAATATCGATGTTCATCACAAATTCATTTATCAGCCTAACGACTTAGTTGTTCAATTCTCAATATACACATGTAGTACGCCAGTTGTGGAGCAGCTTTTAGATCACTTTCCATAGTAACCTGCTGCTGTTTTTTAGAATATATGCGCGAGTATTTTTATTTGATATCTCTGTATTGGGTGTTCCACACAGCTGTTGCTTGCGGTTGTTCAATCCAGTTTGCCGGTGCTATTCGATATTTGTTACAAGTGTTAACACCTAAATTGAACTGTCGCATTGACGAGGGACAGCGCAATCCCCACCCAGACGATGATATCACGAGAATTTGTTCCAATCGTGGACTTGTTTCATACAATTCATTTTCACTTGCAGTTATTGCAAAAGAAATCGAGAGTGATCGACAACATTTATTATCCTCACTGGAACGCTTACCTGAACTGCAGTCATAGTGTTAGTATTAAAGCTTTGTGTTATCCAGAAACTCGTTATGAATTTGGACCCGATGTCGTTGTTGTGGCGCTGGCTGGTTTTGGTTGTGTTCCGAGTTCAATCTCCGGTAACTTAACCGTTTCACATACAAAATACATTTTTTCGTCACAGTTGTGAGCACCCCACTTGCCACTGGTATAATCTACTGAAATGCAATAGACTTCATCATCAGGCATTCTTTCCACTGCAGCGGAGGAGAGATCCAAAAAGCGATAGTTTGCCGAAGTTCCGTCCGTCCATCTTTGGATCAGATGCGTATCCCGATCTTCAAATGCTTGTCTCGCTTTGCGCAATTGCCCCCCGATCCAGAACTGACGTTTTTCCAGTGGTAACACCCAACTCATAATCTCGTGCACCATGGACGGAGTGTGAATAGACACCAAATCGCTTCGAATACTTTTGATTCGGAAAAATGGTTTGTTGTTTATTGGGCTTTGAACGGGAGTGTTTCCCGCGGTCACCGATTCGTTTCCGGAAGTCGATGTCAAATTCAAACAGAATTCACGTGCTTCAGCATGAGTCATCAGGGCATCTCGGTCACCGTGAACCAAGGTCAAGGTCAAGAATGGACTGATGTGCTTGTGGGAAAATTGAATCCCAAAAGAAAGTGAAGCGCAAAGAAACAAATTGATCAAAACGCTCGAGGTGATACGAATTTTGTTCATTTTCACGACACACAATCACTAAAGTGAACTGAGTCTAAGTGAGTGTTTGCTGAATTAATAACAGTGCATGGGCTAATTGATTTTAAAAAAAACGTCTGCTCAGTGCATCATTGCGTATTGAGCCGATGTGGAGTAGGGAATCGATGAACTGGCAGAGGGGGAGTTAGAGTTAGGGGTATAGCGACCGACAGCAACGAACGAGCATGGTACAGCGATCTTTTCATTGATTGATTGTGTAAAGTATATTGGTCTTCTAAATGAACCAGTCACATGGTCCTGATGCCAATGGCGTGAAATCATTTGCTAGTGGCTATTCACATTTACATGTCTTAAATGCGCGGTTTTCTCTTCTGAAGGTAAATTATGAGAAATAGGGACACATGTACCCACAATGAACATTGACAAATTACATTTGATCACTAACTGTATTTCCAGGACACGCACAGATAAAGAGAGAAACAGCCATTGTCCCCGACAAAAGGGCAAACAGTATATTATCGGGGAACACCCCAAGACTACGAATGCATTGGATGATGAACAATTTATCAATTGTTTTTTCCTAATTCCTTGACCACCGGAAGGCTAATAATAACCGTCAGTTTTCGGCTTGAATAAAGATTGCTTGTCAGCAGTTGAGGGAAGATGTGAATATTTGGTTTACGGTAGAATGATGTGGAGTACATGTTATAATTATCACTCGAACTAGTAATTCGTACGCGTATCGAAATCCGCGCAGTATTAGTCCAACCCAGAACTAAGACTCGAAATGAAATCGGAATACAGAACTGAACAACAGAATCGAACTGTGATGAGCGGAAAATTGGAATGTACAAGGAAAACGTGTTCAATAAAAAAAGACTTCATAGTTTATGTGCAATCATCACAGTACAGTTTGTGTGTAGGTCAAAAACAAAACCAATCATCGCGTTACTCACACGTTGATAATCCATCCTAGAATGAAAGTAAGCTTGTTCGGTTCATTCTATCACCCAAAAATCAGAGGTTTTGTATTGACGATAGTCTGTGAGTGATGTAATGGTGATGATTGCGCAAATAAAGGGGGGGGAGGGGAGGAAGAAGGACGCAACCAAAGAGGACATTTTCAGTTCATGTTTTCTTCATAAAATACAACATGACTTTCTCTGATGCCATGTTATGTTTTACTTTACTCCTTTTGTTTTACTGAGCATGCATTCCCACACTGGTGCATATACAAGCCCGGGTCTTTTTCCAACCAAAGATACAAGTGTGTGGTGATCCGGGACTACGTGACGACGCCTACCCTGGAGCGGCGCGTTACAGTTTCTGGACATTTCCGATCAATCAAATTTGAAAGATGACGTCAATGACACGAGTACGGTTTTTGATAGTGCCCCATTGGTAAATTGTTCCAGTCAATCCGAGACAATGCAGACAGAAGCAGAATTATGCAAGCAATATTGTAATACGATTGGTGGAAGCCTAGATGAACAATGATCTTCTTTTGTGTATATTATTTAGTCGCTTCCATTTCTTGTCAGTCTTGTGGTGCTTTCCTCGCGTCTCGTTCACTACTACTACTCCTACTAGTACATACATACATACATACATACATACATACATACATACATACATACATACTACAATCATTGCAACGTGTGACACGCTTTCTCCATGCGTTTATTAATTTTCATTTTTAAGTCGTATGTGGTACATATCAGTACCAAGATACGCCAGTAAACATCTAAGGCAAGCCCTTGTGCCCTTCTCTACCTTGGCCAAAAACACAATAAGAATTCACGCGCGCTATGCGATCTGTAAGAAGTACTGTCTACCATCTGCTACGTCAATCAGTCTCCGTCTCCTTCTTTGGGATTAGGTAATTGCCAGCTCTATGATTGAATGTGTTTGAAGATCAAAAGAAAGAGCATTGGACAGCTGTTTTGTCCTTGTATAGATAGCATTGCCAACAACACCTATTGCCCTTTTCGTTTTCCCGTTGCAAACAAAACAATGAAACTCTAGGTCAGAAACCGAAACCAACCCCCTACTAGCTACATGCTCACCGCTGAAAGACCTGGAGCTCATGGATGTATTTATTAAATCGAACATCTTTCGTCTTCTCTGTGAGATTTCACAGACATAAGAATCCAAATATTTGTCATATGGTGACTCCCATTTCTTGAGGAAGAAGGGGAAAATCACCCTCGTCCATCTTTTTATTTTGGAAAACCAAATTTGGGCCTGACAAAACAAGCGCGAGAAACCAATTACCGTGTCGGTACTTGGTTTTTGTTTGTACGATGTCGGCTGGAAGCTCCTAGCCACACAATATGTTGAGAATCAACTGAACCTTCACAAGATCAACTGTTTCCTGGATAAGCTAACCCAGAGTCAAACCCGGTCCCCAATTTAATCTGAGTTAACCCATTGCTCGGCATTATGCTTCAGTGTACACAGCAACAGGGATCTCAAATTCGTCTCCCTCATCTCCTCAGAGGGTTTCGTATCCGCACCCTCCTATCACAGTCAGTGCCCCCTATCTGGAGGCTACTGATGTCGCCGAGGTGCTACGAGGACTTCGTC